GAGTTTGCACCCCATCCCGTCAGGGAAGCATCCGTTGTAATGGTGACCTTGGGTGACGGAGGGTGGAAGGGCGCTCCCTGAAGGATATTTGAAGGGATAGTCCACCAAAGTAAAGAGTCCTGTATGCTGGGAAGAGGGGATAGGACGACATTGTGTGCATTTTTCGACAGGTCGTAGTTGCGGATAAACCAGAGCTGTAAAGGGCACATTTTGAGTCATGCATGTCTTCTAATCCAGTATTGTGCCGATATACTGTATTCACTGGACCGGACACAATTGAGACTTTGCCAATTGAGTCACAGGCCCAGATTCTCTACATATGGTCCAGTCGCCTTGTGGACACTCGAGCAGACGAAGGTTTTAGTCATGGTGTCTTTGCTGCCTGCAGAAGGACTGAAGACATGGGCAATGCCAAGGTGGAAGAGGTATCCAGCTGAACTATATCATAAAATGCATCTGTTGCCTGCGGATGTTGCTGGACGACAGAGAGGCCTAAAGAGTGGGTCATTCTTTTGACTAGATCTGTGTAAGATGTAAGGTTGTCGGAGGGAGATACGGGGGTAGGTCCTCAGCAACATCCTGGTTGGGAGATGTATGGTCTGGGGAGTATAAGCCTCAGAAGCCTCCGTATCTGAGTCCTCTTCTATGAAGTCAGAGGAGTCTTGTTGTGGTATTTGGACCGAAGTGTCCTGTTGATAAGTGATGGGTTTAGTTTGGACGACAACCGGGGTTGGAGTGACCGGAGGGTTTAGAGGACGACTTGGTTCCACAGTATGGTGTGAAGGATCGACTACAGGAGGACATGACAGAAATGCTGAAGGTCTCGACTTGTGGGGCGATCTCAACCTATGAACAGAGTGGGACGAATAGCGATCCCAATCAGAATAGCCCGCCGGAGTCAACCACGGCATGGATGGTCGATAAGCCCTGTACAAATACCTCAACTGTTGTTGATCCCACAACATTGGTGGTGGAGGGGGCAGGAAGACTCTTGGGGAGCGACTTCTGGACCGTGGACGTCTTGTTGACAAAGCAGTAGCCTGTCTGTGGGAGCCGTCCCTGTAGTCTTGGTTGTCGATGTCGACAGATTGAGTGACCGAACGTGGAGGGTGACGCTGCGTGTTGCATGAAGTATATCGGTGCCAACGTGGATCAATGTCGGGAGCTTCCGATACCGTCGATGTCGACGACGGGGAAGGAGACGGAGAAGGCTCTGCATCCATTTGATAACTTATGAGCTCTACTGTTTTGATGTCGGAGTAAGGACGCTCCATTTGTGGGATGGGGGAATCCAATAGTTGGATGGTCGGTATCGGTGGAGGGACTTGGGCCTCTGATATCGATACTGCCGTTGGAGTGGGAGGCACTTTAGGGGTATCACCCAGTGCAGACACCGCTTCCTTCCCCTTCTTTGCCGCCTTCAGGGACTTGGAGGTGCCCTTCTTCGCGGACTTATGATCCTTACTTGCCTTAACCTTCTTTTTGACTGGCGTGGAGCGGACGATTGTGCCTTCGATGCCGGGAGCTTCGGCATCGAACAGTCGACATCGGAGGCAGGCCTCGATGTCGGAGCTGTCGATTTAGACGGTCTCTCCTCCATTGCTGAGGCAGAGCAAGGGCCGATTCAAGCAGTGCCACTTTAAGGTGCGCAGCATGGTTTTTCGCATTTGATTGGAGAAACGCGCACAGTGACGACAGGACTCTGGCTGATGAGACTCCCCGAGGCAAAAAATGCAGAGGGTATGACGATCAGGAGGAGCATGTTTGCTGCCACAACCCTTGCACCTGTTGAAAAATCCCCACTTCTTCTCCATAAAAGAAGCGAAGAAGAAGAGGGAATGTTTGAGGGGGGGGTAGCCCGAAGGCCTGAGGTAAACTCCCCCTCAGCAGAAAATAAAGGTTTTTTTAAATTGTTTTTGAAGAACAACAAAAAATTAAAGTAAAACAAAGTTTGGAAATAATTCCTAAGAGCTGTGAGGCGAAAGCTAACAGCGAACCGATCGGACCGAGGAAGAAGAGGTCTTCTCAATGCGGCGGTAAGAAAGGAACTGGCAGGATGTCCGCGCCCACCCCTCTGGGCATGCGCTGTGGGGTTCCTGCACATGCCCGAGGGACTGGGTGCGAAAATCCGTTAAAAGAGCTTGGTACAGCTCCGATTGATCCAGCACGTGCGCACTAGATCCCATGGGTGTGAAGCACAGAGGCCACGTTGAAGATCGTCTGGATAAGATGAGGATGAAAGAAAGTGCCCTTAGTTACTGGAAGAGCAGCAACAAAGGTTTAAAGCATCTCTTCGCTGTTACAGACCAAAATAAAAGCAGGATGAACAGTCTATCAGCATCCATGTCTTGCCTTTATTAGATAAACAAAACAGGCATTACTTCACAGGCACAGGCACAAGGCAGTGAGAAACTGGCAGCTTAATAGACACAGATTTTATGAGGGGCCGCTGTAATGCTTACCAATGCTGAAGATGTTGGCTACCTCTTCAGAGTCGTTGGAGTGTTGTTTGATGTAGCGGATCCCCAAAATGCTGTACAAGACCAGGCTATTATTTCCTACATCAGCATCAAGTGCTGTAAGCTTGATAAGCTCAGAACCCACCTTGGCATCAGTTGCAACTCCTTTCAGAACAGGAAGGAAAATTAGTCACTCAGTTGAAATAACACAGAGGAATAGAAAAACCCTCTGGGGGGGAGTTTTAAATGTTTTTTAATTAAAATATTTTAAAACAATTAAAAATATTATTTGGCCCCTTGGGGCACTGGTACACTTCAGTAGAACTCATTAATTTTTTCAAATTAGAAGTCTGTTTCTTAATGTTGACCTCTAGGGAGCATTCCAGCATAAATCTGCTGGGTAGAGAGAAAAACTCTGAAAAAAATACATCCCCCCCCCCCCAACTTTTAAAAGATTAACAGCCCTGAAAGAAAAACTTGCCTATGCTTTCATTTTTTAAAAGTTGCCTTTTGCAGGCATGAACTACTACTCCAGCTTTAATATTTAATAACATATTAAAATATTGTTTACAAATATTTTTAAAGTACTGATTCTGTAGAAAAAAAGATTTACCCTTTTTAGTTATGCATATGGTTTTAACATAGAATTTCCAGTGATTCTTCGGCATGGCATCACTTCCATGTTTTCCCCTGGAAAGTGACATCACACCATTGCCGACAGCACTCCCCAGTGTCCTTGTCCTCCAGGTCTCCCACTGGTTGCCAAGCTCTGCCTGCAGACCCTACATCTAGGAAGCACCCACCTTGTGTCAGCAGGAGGCACTGCCCAGTGTGTGAAGGGTAATCTTTCTCCACAAGTTATAGTAAAATTTGCAAACCAGATTGGTGGCAGCAGGTGCCTGGTCTGCTTTGAGGGTTAACATGAGCAGACAGAAGGGAAGGGTAAGGCAGATTTGTTTGCCATATAGTGATGGGTGCCTCAGAACCCCTCCCCTTTCAAAAGCTCCCTGCTGTTGCTACAATTGTCTTCAGGAGACCAAGTTTCTGGCTGGAATCTTTTCCCAGGAAAACATTTCTCAGTGGATGGCAGTCTCATTCGACTCTTTAGTAAGAGAACTTTCAGAAAAGCAGCTTCCTGCTTAGACAGCCACATTGAAATACCTTACCTGCTGTATATTCTGACTTGGTGAACCGGGGAGGCTGGTCGTTAATATCATCCAGAAAGATCCGTACATCCTGCAAGGTAGGATCAGTGCTGAGGTCCATGGTTTGGAACCTGGCTGCACGGTGACCCCGAGGTGGTGCCCAGTTCTTATTACTAGACGCTTTCACTACGATAGAGTAGAAGGGTTCTTTCTCTCTGTCCATGTCTCGTAACACCTGCAACTTCCCTTCCCTACTCAGCTGGAAATTGTTCTCTTTGTTACCAGCTAGAAAAATAAAACATTTGTTGTATTTTAAAACTGTTCCATTCCATATCTGTATTAAAACACAGATGGGTACAGAAATTCCTCGAGTTCTTCCCCCTTTCATTCTCTAGTATCTAATAGCTTTGGGCTCTTTCTATCAAGTAGAAGGAGGCTGCTTGGGAGGGAAAGTAAAGCTTCTCAAGACAAGTAGAAACTATTTGGATAGGTCTAGTTGCTTGCTACTGTTCAGCCCCATGAAAGCAGCCGTGGTGTAGCAGTCAGAGCTTCAGACCAGGGTCTGGGAGACCTGCCATCAAATCACCATTGTGCCACAGAAGCTCACTAGGTGAGCTTGGGCCAGTCCCATACAGGATTGTTGTGAGGATAAAAGGGAGGAGAGGAGAAATCTGTAAGCAAGCTGCATTGGTCCTGTCATGATCTGGCCTGTGCCAGTACGGCCTAGCCAGCCTAAGAGGCCTGGGTGGCAGTAGGAGGCAGCTAGGCCTACAACTCTCAGAAGGCATTGGGAGAGTCAGAGAGGATTCTAAAGAGACCGTTGGAGTCGGTTGGGAAGACAGTCTGAGAGGAGACTGTGATAGTCTGGTGGGAGAAGGAATCTGAGCTGTTCGCTGAGGGAAAAGGGTGTCTTTCGTCTCTCTCTGCGGCCTGATCTTAGTGAGAGGCTGGGCTGGGAAGAGGAAGATCCCTCCGTCCTTCGTCTCTCTGCAACCTGATCTCAGTGAGAAGACAGGGTGGTCTGTGAGGAAAGGATCCCTCAGCGTGAGTGTTAGGCAGGCTGGGGGCCTGGAAGTAAAACAGTTAGGAGTAATAGACAGCTGCGTTAGGTTATGTTTATTTTTCCTTTCACACTGTTATACCCTTTTTAAGCACCTTGCCGTGTCTTGTTTTTCCCTGCCCCATTGTTGTTTTAATAAACCCTTTTTGTGTAATTATTTTCTCTGCCTGGGTCAATCACGCCTGCGTGTTCTCGGCTGAAAAGGGGCTTGGGAAGGTACCCTGGGCCTCCCAAGGGACCATAAATCCAGGGTGGTGGCGGCGAAACCCAAAGACCCCTCTGGGGTCATGACAGGTCCCCACTGGATTGAAAGGTGGGGTATAAATGAAGTAAATAAATAATAAATATAGCTGAAGATGGGAGGCAAATCAACAGGAGGTTGTTGAATGGCTGAGAAGGACAGAATGAGGCAGGGAAACGGCAGGGGTGGTGGTGGAGGCATGGGGCTGAACCCAGCTCAGGCCCATAATCAATATTAAATTATTTAAATACTGAAGTATTTATATTTCCAAGAACCGTTTGCCATCAACAGTCATGTGGTTTAAATCCCTCCCTGTATTAGTCTGAATCTCAGTCAAAAAAGATTTCATGAACTCCTTCACTGTGACAGAGTAAATATTTATTTTGTTTATGAAACTAAATACTTTCTTCCTTTCTCTCTTTTTCTCACAACTATTTGTTATAAGCCACCACAAGCTTTGCTTATCAAAGGTGGTGGGGTACAAATTTGATCAAACAAACAACTAAGCAACAAACCAAACAACTATCCTGTGATGTGGGTTAGGCTGAGAGGGTGTAACTGGCCCAAGGTCACATAGTGAGCTTCATCGCTAACTGAGGATGGGAACTGTGGTCTCTCCAATCTTAGACCAACACTCTAATAACTACACTGCTCACATACCAGGTACTCAGTATGAATCGCCAAATGCACCTCAGAATTCAGAATACCCAGCCTCCTTTAGGGAATCGCCAAATGCACCTCTGTTCTCCAGAGGCCAGGTCTATCAATATAGTGGGAAAGGGTGGTTAGATCTTTTCTCTGGAGGACAGGTCTACCAATATGGTGGAAAGGGGTAGCTGGCCTTGCTGGGTGGGTGGTAAAAAAATCTAAATAAATAAATAAATAGACCTGTTCTCCAGAGGCCAGGTTACCAATATAGTGGAAAGGGGTGGGTGAGATTTGACGTGATTCTGTTTTCTCTTATAATGTTTAAATTAATGTTAAAATATAGATTAAAATAATTTTAATGAATTTATTTTGAGATTTTTAAAAAGTTATGGAAGTAATCTAAAAAACTATGTGATAGTAAATGTAGACTCGCTCACAACTTTTAATGCTACTAGCTTTTTTCACTCACAAGGTAGAATCTGTGCACTGTAGGAGCTTAGAGGGAATATTGCGGCCATGCACGTGTCCCATTAGTAAATCAGTCTTCTGCCCAGGTTTTTAGCCACTTGTTAGCATAGCCTAAGGAGAACCTTGACTTTACCTTCTCCAAAGCAAGTAATTGCTGGCTCCTAAAATGGGATTCTTCAAAGGTAGTATTATCCACTGAATATCCTTTCACCCTATTATCTTTATAAAGATAGACAAGCAAAACCAGCCCTGTGACTCCTATGAACTTGCTAAGTTGCTACAAAGACAAAAAGTACTGACTGAACTTGAGAACTTGGCAGCCTGAGCAGCTTCATGATGCTACCTTGCAGCTAGGGCGGGAGTATTGACCCCACCGGGAAATACTGGAGGGCCTGGCCGCTGGAGTTTGTGTGTTGCTGTTGGGAAAGCCCGGCGGGGACCTGATTTCCACTGCCCTTCTGAAGTTTATGGTGCTGGGATAGGGAGATTGCCAGAAGTAGGGAAAGTGGAAATAGTGCTGGGAGGATATAGAAAAAAGTGAGGTGTCCCCCCACAAGTCCTTGCAGGTTCCCTACCATGCAAGTGGGCCTGGCCCAGTTGTAAGCAAGCAGACCCTCTCTCTTTACTGAGGGGTTATCTGGAAATGAGCACCCTTCATTTATAGCACCCCAGGAGTCCATATGCCAGTTTGGATTGAATGTACACAAGATGGATGCCAGGATGGCAAGTCTCACATACATGTCTAGGCAGGGACCCTGGAAAGGTGTAAGATCCTGGTCTGACCATGCTGCTACCTCTGCCTTCACCTTAAGGTCTGCATACGCTGGAACAATAGACTTGCCTCGCCCCAGAGCTATCCACCTGGGCTCTTAATCTTCCGTCCACTCACATTTCTCTCACAAAAGCATCCCCTAACATACAGGTTTCCTATCCCACACAAAAGAAGGGTCATCAAGTAGTATTTCTACTTTTTGATTAGTTTAATTAGAAAACCATTAGCACTCCAAATCATTTGTAGGAAGCATTCAGAGTTTCACCTCAAACCCTGTTTTACATCCAGAAATCCTCCCAACCATCTCCTGTTTCTTTGTCCATGCCCCCGGGTAGCATTTTGCCCTATAACTAGACATACACAGCTCCATTGCTGTGTGTCTTGTCTTGGGCGCCTAGTGACAACTCACCCCTAAATCCATTTGGGTCCTTCTGTGAGACACTGGTTCATTTCACAGCCTTTATCCGCAGATCTCTACTCTTCTGGACAGGTAGCTATCACCCCGATGAACACCCTCCTATTTCCCTCTCATTCCTATATTTCTATCAGCTTGTGTGTTTGCTTTCCAGTGTGCATTTATTTCCTATGCAGTTTTGTAGCTGTTAACAGCATACAGGGATCAGCCACGCCTGCTTTTACCAATAGGTGGTGTGGCAATTAACTCCCTTTCCCCCCTTTTATACTTAGTTAATGAGCATGCTCAGTGCTTGTAGCCTTCCCTAAAGGAGGCTGGGTATTCCCAGCAGCCAGCAGTTCAGCCTGGCCCAGAAAGAGGCAACATTTTGGGGAGAGGCCTATATAGACTTTGCTGTGTTAAGGCCTGCCTTGAATTATTGCAGGTAAATCCTGGAGTCAACTGAGAAGAGCTGCAGCATCCCAAGTACAGCCTGGAAACCTCATATGCTGTTCCAGTATCTGTGAACTTACAACATATGGACCTACAATATATGTATTATTTATGTGCTTAGTATTTTTTCTCTTCTGTGCATCCTTGTGGATGCTGAAGATATCTGTACTCAGTAATATCCTGAAGATTCATTGCTATGAAGTAATAGCAACCAACCAGAAGTGAATGAGGATTTATATGAAAACCTCCATGCTTTGTTTATATAAAGAGTTTATTTTAAATGTTAAAGTGCATTGGTTGTATTGCCTCTTTTATGTCTGTGTTTAAGTACATGTGTAATAACAACAGTTACATATTCTTAATAACCATAGGTGGGAGTTCTGCTGTCAAAACCGACTGAACCTGCCCACTCTCCCTGCATATATTAAAAGATCCCTGTAAACACTGGTAGCCAATTTCGCTAGATTACCCCCCTCTCACAAGCTCTGTCTGCTTGCTAATTCTCCCAACAAAAAAAAGGAGACAGCCCTTTTTGGGCAACACATAGCATTTGGGGTAACACAGTGGCCAGTACCATATAACTGAGCCATAGTTTCCCCAGGTAGAGGATGCTGGGTAGGAGGAGAGAAAGCTGAAGATGGTGGGGGGGGGCAGATAAAGGTAGGTTGGCTGTGAAGGAGAAAAGAAAACAGGAAAAGGGGAGAGGCTATGGGGGCGTTCAGGAAAGGGCAAGAGAAAATAGTGCAGGAGGGGAAAATGAGATACCCCTGGCAAGTCCTTGCAGGTCTCCTGCTTGTCTGCTACTAAAACTCCTCTTTATCACTTCTATGTTTCTCTGTCTCTCTTTTTCAGGCATTTCTTAAACATACTTCTAAACCAGTTTTCAAACCACACAATGTCATCCTCATGTCATCACACAGGCATCAAACAACAGGAAAGATGTGTGAAGGTTACCTGCAATGAAGTAATAGACAATGGCATTGGAGCCTTCATCAGCATCCACTGCTCCAGTGACATTCCCCACAACAGTGCCAGGACGTGAGTGTTCAGGAACAGAAAGAACCTGGTATGGGGGACTTCCTCTCTGAAGATCAGATCATGGAAAAGAGAGAGAAGGTGAGTTATAGGGCAGTAAATATAAAATCACATGATGTCACAGAGAAAAATACTAAACAATGTGCAGTACTATCCACTACAAATGAGGTAATATGTACACAGCAAAATTATCTAGTCATAAATCATTAGCAGTTATAACTCAAACATTTTAAAAATTGCAAACATCTTAAAATTTAAAATCACAAACATTTCAAAATCATAAAATTTGCAACAATTCCTTAAAAGAAGCAAGAACTCCTGCCCTTATCTTAATTATCTTTTTCTTTCTGAGAGTGGTTTAATTCATCCAGGTTTTTCAAAGAGTAAAAAAGCAGGTTGCTTACCAGTAACTGGTGATCTTCGAGTGGTCATCTGTGCATTCACACCACCCGCCCTCCTTCCCTGCTGTTGTCAGCTTCTACATTTTTCATAGGGGTTGATTTGCAGCGGTTTGTAGGAACTGGCGGGATGTCCATGCCCACCCCTCTGGGCATACGCGGTGGGGTTCCTGCGCATGTCCGAGGGACTGGGCGCGAAAATCCGTTAAAAGAGCTGGCTACAGCACCAATCGATCCAGTGCGTGCGCACTAGATCCCATGGGTGTGAATGCACAGATGACCACTCGAAGATCACCAGTTACTGGTAAGCAACCTGCTTTTTTACTCTTTGAAAAACCTGGATGAATTAAACCACTCTCAGAAAGAAAAAGATAATTAAGATAAGGGCAGGAGTTCTTGCTTCTTTTAAGGAATTGTTGCAAATTTTATGATTTTGAAATGTTTGTGATTTTAAATTTTAAGATGTTTGCAATTTTTAAAATGTTTGAGTTATAACTGCTAATGATTTATGACTAGATAATTTTGCTGTGTACATATTACCTCATTTGTAGTGGATAGTACTGCACATTGTTTAGTATTTTTCTCTGTGACATCATGTGATTTTATATTTACTGCCCTATAACTCACCTTCTCTCTCTTTTCCATGATCTGATCTTCAGAGAGGAAGTCCCCCATACCAGGTTCTTTCTGTTCCTGAACACTCACGTCCTGGCACTGTTGTGGGGAATGTCACTGGAGCAGTGGATGCTGATGAAGGCTCCAATGCCATTGTCTATTACTTCATTGCAGGTAACCTTCACACATCTTTCCTGTTGTTTGATGCCTGTGTGATGACATGAGGATGACATTGTGTGGTTTGAAAACTGGTTTAGAAGTATGTTTAAGAAATGCCTGAAAAAGAGAGACAGAGAAACATAGAAGTGATAAAGAGGAGTTTTAGTAGCAGACAAGCAGGAGACCTGCAAGGACTTGCCAGGGGTATCTCATTTTCCCCTCCTGCACTATTTTCTCTTTCTCTCCCCCTGACAACAACTGTGTCCTCTCACCTTTCCCTGCCTCCTTCTCAGCTGTTCACCTACCTTCTATCTGCCTCCCTGTACAGAGATTAGCCCACCCAGTCCAGTCCAGGGATGAGAGGGAATCCTGTACTTTTCAGTACATTAAAAAACAAACCACGAGATGGTCTATATCCTCTCTGGTTTTCAGAACAATATGCCACCAGAATCTCTTTTCAATAGTCCCTGCTTTTCCTAAGGGAGAGATTCCAAACCCTTAGTTGGCATCTGG